TCAGAATCAAAGGTGCAGATTTCTCAAAACAAAGCATGTGCAGATCATGTCACATCAAGAATTTCACATGCCCAACAGCTCCTTACAGCTATTTCGGGAAGTCTTGTCCACTTGGACTCGCGAAATCTTATTTATTTTTTTATTTTTTTTATTTTTTATTTTTTTACTGAACTGGACCTGTCAGAACTGAACTAGTGATGACAGCTGTACCTCCTCGGCTGTAGTTCAGTACAAAGAAAAATTTCAAAAATTTCAAAAAAAAAAAATTGCAAGAGACAACTGGACAACCCTTTCCAAAATAGCTGTATATAGGGATGATTTTATTTCTGGGTCAGGAAAATCAAAGGTGTGAAATCAGAGAATAACTCAAAAATTTGTCATTTTTATCCTTAATGATTGTTCTGTAGTGTCACCATACAGCCAACTGTTGTTCAAGAGAAATTCCAGGTATTTCTCTACTGGATTCAATTTAACAAAATGGTGCCCGATATAATCTGAGAAAAGAAGGTTCCATGAAGGGAGAAAGGAACCAGCTCACAAGAAAATGTTTGACTACAACATGCTCTTATCATAGCCAATTTACCTCAATTTTCTGCTATGCATATGTTTTATTCAAAGGCTCATGTGAGGAATATAATTTAGAAACCATATTTTTGTGATTATAACTAGTGGGCTGCGGGCTGCCCATCTGAGAAAACAAAAACAAGGCATTTGAGCACAGTAGCATAACACTGGACCAAAAGATGTATGCAACATTAATGAGAACATGGTGGAAAAATATAACAAACCTCAAATTAATAAAACTGTAAATGAGTTTCTGAGTGCTGTGTTGATGTCTAATCTCAATGCTCATGCATTCCGTAAAACCTTAGCATATTTTTTATTTCTTAAGATTTGAATACTCAAGCCCTTGTGAGGACATCACCACGCTTGGACTCTCTAATTTATGACCTTGTCATCCTCACTGGAATCACCATTCCTATTTCCTTATATTCCTCCCTCTTCTCTCCTATGGAATCATTCCCCAGGAACCTTTCTCGCTTCTGAATTGTTTTCTCCATGAGCGGGGTTCATGATAGGATTTTGTCAGGAAGAAAATCAAGCTACTCAGTATTTGGGAGCACTCAAACCTTGGCTTAATTTTTAGACAAAATTAAGCTTAATATTTAACCAATCGAGGAAAGGTTCTGTGAAGTGTAAGCCTTAATCTGAACTCAGGAAGCCTTAGAGGTTCCTGAGTTGGGATTCTGAGCTTAAATCAAGGCTTAAATTAAGCTCAGGATTTCATAATTCAGGAAAAATTTAAGCCGGGTTCAGGAAGCAAAAAGCTTATTGTGAGCCCCGCTATTGTCAGACTTGTTCCTCCATCATCAAACTTCTCTCATCCAATCAACTAAAATCTCTCCCCCAACATATCAATTCTCCTCAAATCACTTTTAATACATTATTTTCCTGCGTCTTCTATCATCATTTATTCTTGACCAATATTGTTATACTTCCTCATAGCTCTGATGATCCTCATATTGACAAATCCCTTCTATTCAAAAACTCACCAACCCCCCTCTCTCTGAAACCACTATCCAATCATTGTAGGTTCTAGTCGGTCTCTTCTTGTCGCTGTTTGGATATTAACCTTTCTTTCCTTGTTAGATCCTCTTTTTTTAATTTCCTCATTGTTATCTCTATATTGTTGTTCTTTCTCATTATCCATTTACTGATTTTAGGTGACTACTATTTTCTCATTTCTTTCTTTTCTATATTGTATTTCTTTAAGCTGGCACTTATGAAATACAACTTTTAGTCTATCCATTAACATGCTGATGGTTTGGTAAGATTCAAAAGTTAAATATTCCAGTCTGTCATAGGAAAAAAACCATCCATCAGAATACTGTTAGACTTTGAGCTTCCTACTGAGAGTGCATCTACACCAATCACATTGTAAATTGATAGGCATAAGTCATCTGGCTCTTACTGCATTGGCTTTTTGGTGAAAATCTGTTCCTAGAGTATTCAGATATAACAGAAAACAACACCATTTTGAAAGCTCAATGTTATTCCCAGAAAATTGAGCTTGATATCCCATTGCCTTCCACTGTGTCTGCTGTCTTTGCGGTGGACCAGGGGCCTTTGTTCCCAGAGGTTTTGACCCATGCAATAGAGATTGTTTGTTTGGACCTGGGTACCTGTTTATACCTAGGTACCTGTTCATTTTTTCAAGAAAATAGATACCATGTACCGCACCAGGCACCTCCCGGCGGGTACTGGCGGTACTTGTGGCAGGTACCGCGGGTACCTTCCCTCTCTTTTTCACTTAGTTCCACTAGCTATCTCAACATTACTTCATATCCTGTACTAGATATGTGGTAAAATGAAACTGGATGTGCTGTTTTAATTTTTACTTCTTCACACTATTTTAACAAAAAAGGGGAAAAAAATATTGCATATCCAGTTTTTTACTGCATATTCAGTACTGTTGAAAGTGTATATAGTAAATGTTTTAAAAATTTTTATATTTATTGTAAAATATGCAGCCCTCCCCACCCCACCCTATGTGAGGGAAGTGGGGGTGGGACCCCGTGGTACCTCTTGTTGGTTTTGCCGAAAACAGACACCTGGCAAGGCACCCTGGCACCTCCTGGAAAGGTGCGCAGCGGGTGCCCGGAAGTAACCCCCAAGTGATACTAGGTACCTGCAAGGAGTACTGCAGAATGATATCTACCATGCAATGACATGTGTTGGATTTTCTTCTTCTTTTTTTAATTGTTGTCGTGTCTGACATTCCATATGATTTTTGATGATTATTGAAAAGGGAAACAACCCCCCAGATTTATTTTTGGTTCTTCATTGGAGTCATATGTAAGGGAGAGAAAGTCTTGTTGAATTTAGTTTTGTATGAACTTCTGATTTGAAGATACTTGGATTAAGCTTGGTATGTCTGGACAATTTGGTGGCAAAATGAACAAAAGGGAGTGGGGTGTGGATTCAGCAAGACATTCTGATTTATGTTTGTATCTCAAGTAACTGCCAGAAAGAACCCAATGATCATCAGCTGGTTCAAGAGCTTATATTTTCTCAACCATGTACAGTGGGTAGACAGTGAAAAGTGTCAAACAAGTGGTTCCGGTGACTGCGGTGCATGATGCATGAGACCCACATTGATGATTAATATTCAATATGAAATCTGGAACTCAAAACTTGGCTCGCTTCTGCCCCAGAGAATTGGACAGCCGATCGAGAACCATAATCATCCCGAACCGCTATCCAGTATTGATTCCCTTAATCAACTATCGACCAACACCTGAACTGCTTCATTCTTGTACCGTCTCACCGCTCTTCCAAGACCAACGAAACTCAGGAGGAGCCAGAGTATAATACAAGTGGAGGTATACTCGACTCAGTTTCTTTCTCATCTTTTATTTCTCGTTTGTTTCAAGACTTCTTGATTATTGATCTCATTCTTTTTCTTTCAGGCTTGTTTATCTCATTTCTCCTAATACTGTTTCTTGTGTCTAAGTTTGAGTTGTAGCCAGGACAAGAACATCAGAAGGTACTTAATGATTTCTTTTCTTTCTTCATTTCAATCTTAGCCTTAATTGTTTTGTTTCTCTCTTATGTTTCAAGTTTTTACTACTATTAGCTTTTGGATATTAGTTGCAATAAAGTATTTGATCTCAAAATTCCTACAAAAAGTGGCTGCTTAGTTTGGATTCCAGAGCTCCAAAACACAAACTCCAAGTCATGAGACTTGGTCAGATGGTGCATAATAAGTCCCAAAAAATGAATATGAAAAAAAACTTGAATTTGTGAAAAATAAAAATAAAAATCATTTTTTTTCAAAAGCTTTAATATTCATTAGGGGGTATCAAATATAACCAAATCCACCATTATTTAATTGACTGGTTTGAAAAAATCCACCCTTTTTTAGACATGTTGGTTATCCATTTAACCCCTTTTGGGGCCCATTTACACAATTTTTTTTTTTTTGAAAAATTGACTGGTTTCTGATGGTGGATTTCCTGTATTTGATACCCCCTATTTTGGGGGAGTGGGAGTGCTGAGAGAAAGAAAGAATGGAATGTGGGAAGAATGATTATAAATGAAAAAAATTGGAACCAAAAAAGGGTTAGCCAGGTTGGTTGTCCAGATTGGAGCCAAAACAGTAGATTATGTTGCTTTACTGCAATGTGGGCTGGTGAATGCCCCACTGAACAGCTGTTTGAAACCATCTGGAAACCAATTTTTCTAAAATTTTCATTGATAATCATTCTTGTAATATCCCAATCTTCCTTTCTCTCAGCACTCTCACTCCCCCAAAATGAATTTCAAAGCTTTTGAGAAAAATGAATTTTATTTTTTATTTTTCACAAATCTTGGAACTTTTTTTTTTTTTTTCATATTCACTTTTTAGGACCCATTCCACACCACTTGACCAAGTCTCATGACTTCAAGTTTGTGTTTTGGAGCTCTGGATTCCAAAATAAGCAGCCAATTTTCACTGGAGGACTTCCCGTCGGATCTGGGACCCTTGCAGATGTCAATTTAGACCCAAAAAGTCTATAATTTTGCTGGGAAATCTAGCTTTTGAGGCTCTAAATTGCTTCTGGGAGACCCGCAGATATTGATGGGAAGTCATCCACTGTCTACCCACTGTACACAGTTGAAAATGATAACGATTATATATTTCACAAGAAGAGCCAAAAGTCCCTTGACCCATCCATTCATTAATAATCACACCTATTTCTCTGATGCATATTTATACACATACCCAAATTAAATTAAACAGCCCCCATCTGTTGTGACTGTGAGTCAGGCCATGTTTTGTTTTGACAAAACTTTGGTTGCTTTATGTGTATATTGAATATAAGTAAAATGTATAAAGTTGTGTAAGTATCTAACTGTATATGTAAAATTCATACAAGAAAAATATACACTTGTTATGATCAAACAAAACAAAACAAAATCAAATCACAAAAAAAAAATAATTCACAATAACTACATGTACGTCCCAGATTTCACACACTCACTCTGCAAATTGTATTTTGTTTTGGTTGTTTGTGGTTTTGTGTGCGTGTGTGCTTTTGTAGGTTGTTGCAAAGGAAAGGAATACATGAGATAATTTGAGTAGAGATAAAGACATAGAGAGAGAGAGAGAGAGAGGTAAGAAGTAAAGAGGAGAGGGGAAAAACAGGGTTCATTGGTCTTTCCTTGGATGATTGATTGATTAGAGGGGAAATAAAACAAAAGAAGAAGAAAAAGGACCATGATGTGTATGTGGATGTGTGATGTGAGGCGTAAAGAAACAATTTCTTCCCAGAAGGGTAAGCCTACAACTCGATCAAGGGAGCGACTTCTTCTTGTCGAGCGGATGGGACGTCGAGCGAAGAAAGATGGTACGGGCCATTATTGGGGGAGGTAGTAGACCAAGCAAGTTGGGTGTTGGGCACGTTAGGGAAGGAGGGCAGTGGGGTCGCCGGACCGAGCAATGTTTGAGGGGCTGAGGGGAAGGACGGCTGACGGGTGAGCGCTTCCGACCCAGGAATGCCCTGGGACGAGACCGACAACATTGGGGGTTGCACATCGTGGTGGACGGATTCCATCGAAATCCCTTGAGGATGGGTCGGATGTGTCGAGGGCGAGTGATGGTGGGCTTGCGGCTCAGAACCAATCATATGTGAGACTGGAGAGAGTCCTGGACTCGGCCGCTGTGTTGGGTTGGACTGTGGTTCATGTGGATGGAAACGATTTGGGGAACTGATCGGGCTCTTATTTTCGGCAGCCAGCTGAGTTCCGCATGAAGGATAGATCCCAGGCGACTGTGACATCAGCGGGGCCTGAGAGCTCAAGTATGTCGAGTGGCCAGTTGGATTTGAAGGTTGCTGTGCAGAGAAGTGTTGGGTGAAAGGGCTGAATCATTCAATGGATTGTTTGGGCAACCAAGATGATGTGTCTGTTTGTTGCGCATCTGGGTTGATGATGAACTTGCAGCGCAGCGACGTCAAATGGTAGAAA